TCCCTAATTTCTCATATAAATTACTCTGCTCTCTACTTGTTAAGGTCGCAAAACATCTCAGCCTGCTTTCAGATTTTTTAGGTGTCTTAATGGTTTCGTTTGCTTATATATCTTCGTGCCTAATTCGTCGTCGTGGAAGATCGTCTTTGTTAGGGTTTTTTCTGCGTCAGTTTTCAGTGTTAATTTTTGCGGGGATGAAAGGAGAAAAAGTTTAGCGCTACATACCCATATTATGTTATTTGTTTTCCAGCTGCTTCTGCAGGTGGCTAGCTTCTTTCTTCAAAAGTTTGCTCATTCACGCTAGCTGGAATATGTACATTGAATCTCGACGTCTGTAACCTTATATAGCAAAAGTCGTGTCTGCTGATATTGTAGTTGTCTGTCTTTGCCAGTGCTTCGCGAGAGCCTTGTAGTCACATGATGTTGTACGGGACTATATTGGCCTTACGCCGAGGAGAAACGCATAGGCACTATGTTTTACGTGTTTGTTGTCCTAAATAATACATTTTTTTCATTGAAGGTGTGTTTCGTTTTTTACGTCTACGATAGCGCTTTGATTTATTTTAGGCCCTCGACGTTGAAACATCGTTTCGTAAAAGTTCAAATCCCCGTAGTGATAAGAAATGGGGTAGGAAATGTTCTGTAAGATATGAAAGCAAACTTTCCCTGGTAGTCTCAGATGTGGTAGTCAAGAAGAACGCAGAAAAATTCAACTTTTTTGAAGATGATCAGGTTCTGTAACGTTGATACATTCAGTTTGTATTTTGTTTTTTTTTTTTTTTTTTTCAAGTACTAATATTTTAGATTTTTTTAGTTTGGACAGTGGTTTAATTTGGAGAGGAAAAGTTTGTAGCGCTGAAGACGCGAATTTTGTTATTAGTGTCAGTAATTATTTTACTTCAGGTGTGTAAGGCTGGTTCTATTTTTGAACGCCGAGAAAATCTGGACAGTTTGAAGTTCTTGCTTCCAAAGGATAAGTTGAACGGATTCAACATTAAAGTAAATCACTTCATTCTCGCTTTTTTCTTTAAAATTTCATTAAGCTAGTCCATAAATTTCATGATCTGGGTTTGATAGCATTCTGAAGCTTTTAGTGCTGAACAAAACTTTGTGATTTTTTGTTATAAGATATCTTACTGAAAAAAAATTCCGGTTATTTTCTTGTTGTAGCCGAATTTAATTCATAGTCTAGCTTTTCTGGTTTCAGCCGGTGATACGTTTTTTTTTTTTTTTTTTTGCAGTTAGAGGATGACTGCCCCCAAGGAGGCGATGACGTACGTCTGTCAGTCTTAGAAGCCTTAGGAACATACAACTACCGTACTGTTCCGTGCGTTTTGTGTTTGAGACCGCTTGTTGTTTATGACAGATATCCGTTAATTGATGGCACATTTTTTTTGTCGCCAGTTCAGCACTCGAAGGATCCCGTCTGTATGAAGTTAGATATGAGGTAAATCTTCATGACTCACAGAGTGTGAACCTTAGTAGATTGCTTTTACTTTTCTGCGGACGTCGGCTCTATTTGTTCTTTTACTATTTTTTCTGGGAAAGCTATTGGACTGAATGTTTATGTAACTTCACTTCGTATTGGATTTGAGTGGAAATTACAGGTGTGCTTACTTGCACGCTGTTTGTATAACATGCATGCATACCAAATGGTCATGTGCAAGGTGTGAAAAAAGCGACTGGTTCCTCGGTCCGGCACTTGTTGTTGGTACTTTGTATACATATGATGTTCTTTCGACCTCGCTGTGTTGTCCGCCGATATGTCGTATCTGTTTAAGTCCTGTTTTAATGACGGATTGGCAGAGAAACTCGATGGAAAAGGTAATCTTTTTTT